TCTGCTGCAGCTGCGCTTTGAGTGACTTTTGGGTATAAAAGGGCGCAGCAGCGGCTGTGGCGATCAGTCAAGTTTGTGACCTGGACTGGGTCAGTCGTGCAGTGCAAGTGGTGAATAAATTTAAGTTTTTTTTTGTTAAAGTTTAAATAAAATGTAATTCTTTAATAAATATTGTATTTGTTTATATAAATATTTAAAATTATATTTAAGTTTTTTTTTGTTCTTGAACATTGTTTATTTGTATAATAATTATTTAATTGTTTAAATGTTAAATTTAAATATAAATTATTGTTAATAAGCATCAATTGTTATTATAATAATGAAGTTAATCGTAATGTTCATTAGCGATAATGATCATTAAGAATAATGATCATCATTTATGTACATGATCATTACGGGTAATGATCATTAATGACAATGATCATTAGCAATATTTTTTTTTCATGATCATTTACGAAATGTTAACTATGTTAAGAGTCAAATACCCTAGCTGCCTTGTTCTCTTTTAAATTGTTAATCACTGACTTCCTATTATTATATATTTATTATAATAAATAATATTTAAGAGCATTTTAATTTATTTACCCGCTTGTAATATATAGTCAAGTTATTTGCAAACTGTGTTTAGGTGTTTGTCACGGGCAGAGAATCTCTGAATCTCTCTTAATTGTCATTTTTACAACATATTGTTTTTGCACATGTATATTAAATATTTTCAAGAACACATACGTGTTTATATATTTATATATTTATATTTAAAATATGAATATATTAATGTATTTTGTATATAAATATATATAATATAATGGATGACAATAACAACACCAATAACATTGACAAATGTTTGCTAAATAATCTATTTGTATATGATGAATATGAATATTTATGACAATTTTCTCTCTGTAAAAATAAAGAATGTCTAAAATAAAAATGTAGTAAAAAGTGAGAAAAAGAATATAAAATGTAAAACAGTTAATATATTTATATTTATACCTATATTTAATGGTGTTCTAATGTTTGTTATTCTTTTCCTTTTTTTTTAACGCTCGATATAAGCAATGGAAAATATTAAAAATGGCAGTTTAGGGTATCACCTAGTCGACACCCCGACTAGAACTTTCTTACTTGAATATAGCGTTAGCTTAGTTACAAGGCTCACTTGCTAGTGCTATAAAAATATAAGACAGCTGATAGATTGAAACCCAAAAACCAATTTTCATAGCAGATTAACATATGAAGCCTCAAGTATTAATATAAATCTACCCAGCTATAAGCCAGCTTCAAGCATAAAAAACCCAGCTTAAAAAACCAATCTATCAGTTCATAACCTGCAGCTCACACTCACTGGAAACTATCTTTAAAAATATACATCAACTATATTATAAATTATAAAACAATCAACCAAAGCCCTTCACATGTTTCCCTTTGCCAAATTTAATTAAGACTTCGCTAAAATCACATTCAAGATTTTAAGGCTGCATCGCAAAAATTTGTTGCTGCATTTGCCGAATGTGTCGCTGTGTGTGCTGGTGTGTGTAAATGACAATGGCGCTTACAAACATTCATAAATCCTCGGCAAGTTCAGAGCTGCGCTGTCGTTCGTACAGATTCCGTTTTGTATAGTTGTCTCTTCAGTTTTTTGTTAGTTTTTTTTGTCTCATTCTTTGGCTGTTTTTGTTCGCATAGTTTTTATAGCATACTTATGTGGGACAGCCGAGCGAAATCCATTTCACTTATCCCATGCACTTTTATGGCTTTGGCCACCAAAAATTTTGCACATTAAAGCGAACTTTTTAACATGACATATGTAAGCCAGTCTCAGGCGCGCTCTCCCAGAGCCCTCCACGTTGACAGCATTTGTGGTGGCACCCATTGGCCAAACACAAGTTGCACAAATACACATTTCATATTCATAGTCTGAGAGCTTAAAAGCAAAGAAATTAACTTCACAAAAGTTTGCACAAACGTTGAAAACGAGTCGACGACTCGTCGAGTTGTCGATGCGACACACACGGCGTATGTGTAATATGTTGAATATGAAAATGTGTTAGATGTATATGTGTGTGTGTGTGTTTTTGTGTGTACATGTGTGCGCGCACCCCTTGCACACAAGGCCTACTCGAAATGTGCTTCAGCTCTCCACACTATTTTTGTGCTTAGTCGGCTCATCTGCATTTTATGGTCCAAAAATATCATCATCATTTTTTCGCATTTCATTATGTTCGCTCTCGCTCTCTCGCGCTCTGGCGCTCTAACAACTGAAAACTTAGCAGGCTCATTTAGTATGCTTCATTTCATTATATGGCTCAGTCCCAGTCCCAGGCTCCCCTACTTTACTTTAAAAATAGGGAAGAAGAAGAGATGAACAAAAAAAAAAACTCTTAACTTTCGCTGCAACCGCAAACATTTTGGGCCACATTTTGTGGGCAATCCTTCTGCCTGGGTCTCCGACAAACGGTGCGAGAAATTGTCCTCTCGTCAGTTTTTTTTTTAATATTATTTCTCTTTTTTTTTTGTGTTTCTGATGTCGCATGCAATTTTTTTCTTTTTTTGGTGTCCTGCGTAGCAAACTCCTTTGGGTTCTGTCTCCGGGTGTCCTGGCTGTGCTGACTGCCTCCCATTTGGCTCCTGCTAAGCTGCGCCCCAGCTCACTACCGCTGCCTCCACTGGCAACCCATCCCTTCGCGTCACTCACTCACTTTTTTCTCGTAATTTTCATAAGCAGCCGTTAGACGTTGGATTTATGTTTTTAAACGCCTTTTAATATGCGAGAGGATCTTCGCGCGCCCCAACAGCAGAACACAAAAAAAAAAAAAAGAAAACGAACAGAGCAAAGCAGAACACAAAGCCACTTGCAAATGCCGCATAGCCATCCTCGTTGTCCTAGTCGCCATTCGCCGTTTGCCGTTCGCCTGCCACCTTGCTTCGCCGCGTCCTTGCGCCTCGTCCTGCTCGGCTGCGTTGCGTTGCGTGGCATGGCGCAAATCCAGTGAGAATGCGTTTAAAAAAATATTATAATAATAACATTACGTAAATAATTGTTGGGTGCTGCCGCTGCCGCTGCTACAGCCAAAGGCGGCGAGCGAGCGCGTCGAGAGGCGTGGCAGGACGCAGGCAAATGGCAATGGCAACACGCGCCGCAGGAATAGCAACGGAAATCAGCTGCGTGTTGATAAGCAAAGCGCTGCCAACGAGCCCGACAGGAGAGTGGGAGCGAGACAGCGACTAGGCGAGAGTGAGAGAGGGGCACTAAGCAGGCGCTGCCTACGGGTGGGTCCTGCTCTGCTCAAGGCTTTCGCACTTGCTAAGCGTTTGCGTGTGCCTGCCTCTGTCTGCGTGTGTGTGTGTGACGTTTTGGGTGCGTATTATGGTGTGCTTTGCGGTTAGTCGCAGAATCGCTGTGGCAAAATCGAAAAACTCCAGCAAAGCCGCCTTAGAAAATACCCTTAGAATAATAACAGCTAAGCGGCAACAAAGCGAATTATGTTTTAAGCGAAGGTTATTATTGGAACCAAACTTTGCGCAGAGCCTAAACAAACATAAGTATAAGCAATTAATCCTTTATGTAGGCTTAACTTTTACGCCCCAAAGGTTGGGTAAATAAGTTCTCATGTGAAAGTTGTCAACAGTTTAGGAGCTTAAGATATGTTGAGAACGTGTCAAGCTTAATGAATCCTTTGCCTTGCCACAACTTCAGCAATATAGTAGGCAAATTCTGAAGAAACGAGTCAGCTTTCGATATGAGTAGCCTTAAATTTAGTTAAAATAAAAAAAATTAAATTTATAAATATTTTTTTTTTGCTATTTTTAGACCTAAGGGAAGAAGAAAGGATAGGCAAATTGCTCTATAGACAAAAGAAGTTTCTGAAGATCTCTCCAATATTATGCTCTTTGAACATTCACATATCTATCGAAATGTACTCGTTTACCAACACTATTTCTTTTATGATTTGACCTTGCTTCATAACACTTTAATGCCTTGGAATGTCAAGAGCTTATAATAAATATATATCTTAGCTGCCTAATATATATCTGCCTACATATAGCTGCCTATATATATCTTAGCTTAGCTTCTGTTTTCGAATATATGTTTAGGGACTCGTATGTCTTGCAATTTAAATTTTCTAACACATTTCAAAATGCCACAAGCTCAACTCTTAAAGTTCTAACTCAATTTGCCACAGCTTGCCTCCGCTTTAGCTATGAACCTGACCTTTACTTCTCTGCTTACATGCCCAACTAACCCACATTTACGCTAAAAACTCTTGAAACCTCTAAAAAAGTATATATTTCAGCTATGTTCTAGCTTATTCTCAGGAGTACTTGTACAGCACGTTACGCGTCATATGCAGGCCTCGACATGCCTAACTCCTTCTGGAGCTAGAGTATTTTTCGTGAAGGAGGCAGCAGCGCAGCACTGAAAGGAAGAAAAAATGAAGCCGCTACATAGATGGGCACATTTGTAACACTGTCTAACCGAGCGCAGTGGCAGGCAGCGAAATGTGCGTGTGGCATTTAGTAGGCAGGCAGCAACTGTGACAGTGGCAGGGGCGCAGATAAAGATAGAGATGGTGGCAGCAGCAAGAGCAGCAGGAGTGGCAGGAGAACGTCCTAAACGGGCACAAGCACCCACACTCACACACGCACAACCAATGCTGTCGAAATTTTGTTGTCATCATCACTTTGCAGGCATAGAAACAACTGAAGCTGATGGGCCGGATGGAGTGGGGCACAACGCTGGCTGTGGGCGTAGATGGAGTTGAAGCTGCCTGTCAGCCACAAAGTTATCTGCTTGCCAGTATTTTTTTCTTTTGGGTATTTAATGTTGTTGTTGTTGTAGCTGGCATCTTCCGTTTTTAATTTCAGCTGCCATTTGCTGCTACTTATGACACATCCTTTGCCCAGACCCCCCGCCCCCAACAAACTCAAGTGCTCGAGCAGTCGCACAAAAATATTATATATAGCAGTTTTTTTTTGGCAATATTTCTGTGTGTACTTACCTTGGGATGTGCACGTCGCGGAAAAGCTACTTTCGGGTCCACCTGCAAGCAGAAAGAGAAAGAGAGAGAGAGAGAGAGTGAGTGTGTGAATGAGAGGGCCAGAGCTGGAGCGTACGTAGTGAGAGTGTGAGGAAATCGTATGCTTAATGACATTTAAATGAAAAAGCATTTCGAGCAACTCTTCATATTAATAGCCAAGCATAAATCTTGCATAAGCCTGCATTGCGCATTAAGCAGGAATTACTCCTAGGGGAGCACAGGGCGGGGAGTCAGGGAACGGGCGGCGGTGCGGTTGGTGTCATGCTGGTCTGTGGCAATGCTCAACTTGAAAGCTGAGCACGCACGAATTAACGCATAACAAATTGCGCGTCCAGAGGAGCTACTCCTGTGCCCCTTGCCTGGCCCCTCCCTTCCGACTGCCCGACTGCTTCAATAAGCAGCGTCATTAAAAATAATTAAAAATCATAAAAATTCAATTTTAAGTGCTTTGCTGGTTCTCATTTTGGCCGCACTGACAGCAATCTTACTGACAGCCAAACGGTAAACCACGAAGGGGCCAACGTTCGTCGAGGGGACCGTGGATCTGTGGCCACCCGCACAAGCCGGCCACCCCCTTGGGCTAAATCTTTTTGAAGTGACTTTGTACTGCATTCAGCTGCAAGTTCTGGGCTAACTTAAGCCAATGCCGCAAATAAAATGGCAAATAAAATGAAGAGATATTGGCAAAGATAACTGCAGCGACCAAAAATGAGTGGAAGACAAAGAGCATGAGTGAGGGGGAGAGAGTGTGGTTTGGCATGGTGAAAGCAACGCAATATCCTCTGGCGATAATAATTCGCACAAAAATTGTCACAGGACAGCAGCAAATGCTGACAGGACGGCAGTTTGCCGTGTTGATTTCCTGTGTGCAGCACGAAAAACAACAAGAGCAACAACAGCAGCTCTTGCTGTGGGTGAGGCTAACAGCGCCCGCCCGGCGGGAAATTGATTTTTAGATTAAAATTAAAACTAATCAGCGCTGAGTGGCAAACGTCGACGTCGACTTTTTGGAAAATACATCAGACCGAAAAAGCGTAACGAAATGAAATGAAATGAATTCGCATCGTTTTCAGTTTTCCGTGTACTATGTGTTGTGCAGCCAAACGGAAACACGAAACGCTGCACGACTGAGCCACACACACACACTTCTGAGTGTGTGTGCTGCAGTTGGTTTGAAAAAAAAAGAGAAAAACAAAATAGAAAAGTGAAATACATATCCATATAAATGATGGCTGCGCATTTTATTTACAGTTGGCCAGCTGTGTTGCTATAAAAGAATGACCAATGCAGACACACACACACGTGCACACTGCAGCTAATTAAGCTAATGCCAATGCGGCGTATGCGTAACATGCGCTGCCTTCTAACGCCAATTCCTGTCTCTGTCAATTCCCGCCCAAATGCTAATCAAACCGAACTGATCAATGACATGAATTGAAACGGGTTACACAGTAAAGTGTAGATTTAACTTTTTCTACATTTATATTGCGATGTATATCGTATATAAGTATATAAATATGTATGTTAGCTAGCCAGTTGGCAATGGAGAGTTTGTTCCTTCAGTTCTGTTTCAGTGTCAAGACTTTGCCAAAACTCAATACATTTTCCAATAAGTAAACATTTATTTTATATTTTAATTCAATATTCGAATTAGGAATCAGCTAATTTTCAAGTTTTTATATTAATAAAATAAATGTTAAGCTCTAGTGCTGTAAGCCTTTGTAAGCCATTGTGAGCAGTGCTTTTGTACAGTCTTAGAAAAGCTTTCTGAAATCTTTTTTGATATAAATTATAAGAAAAGTATTTTTAATCAGGTTTTTATGTTTGGCTTCAAGATGTGTAAACCAAAATATTTTTTGGAATTTTTGAGAGCAAAAGTAAATTGTCTTACATTCAAGCTACAACCTTGACTAACCTTAAGGCTATCATAATTTATTCAAAATTTATTTAAAATTTAATCACGTTGGTATTCTTGTGTAGCTTTCAGCATTTGCTCTCAATATATATTTTCTATAATTTTTTTTTTTAATCAATCTATATATATATTATATAAATCTATAAACTATAACTAAGCTTTGTGGTGCTGTTAAAACTTTTAAACATTTTTTTGCTTACATTTTGATTAATTTTATATTTAAATTGTATTTTGAAGCCATTTAGCATGTAAATATTTGGAATTATCAAATTATCAAAGCACTTTCTTTCTGCTCAAAGCTCAGTAAAAATTTATGTGACGTTGCACAAGATCACGGGGTTTAACGTGTGCTTAGCTTGCTTCACAGATAATATTCAAAATAAATACCTAAATACAAATTATTGATAAGTAGTCTCGAGACGTACTGTAGAAGAAGCTCTTTCAGCCCTTTCTTATAGCAAAAAATATTGGTATTCTATTTCGTTTTCTGCACTAATTGTTCTCTGTATTTAAAAACGAAAGAAAATTTAATTTTTTTTTTAGAATTTTGACTCACAGCGTGTTAAGGCTAGAAAAACGTTCTTGGGCCTTTCAGCTTTTCTTATCTCATCAATTTTCTAAAGCTTGACCATTTATTTATTATGAAATTTCTTTTTCTTCTTTTTATGTTTTCTATTTTCAGCGCAGCACTTCATAAAATAATAATGTTTGAGGGGCTGTGGGCTTCCTTTTTTTTTTTGAAATGTGCAAATCTGAAATATCTAATTTTTTAATGCGGATATTTACCGAGGAAATGAGAAACAGTAATGACAGAGTGTAGTAGCTGCAGCTCGCAGCGCTTCCAATGCCAGACAAGCACCTGACGTAATTAAAAATTGTTTGGCTTTTACAAAAATCTGCGCTTTTCATAGACAGGTTATTGTTTTCTTTCTGCTGCTTCTTCGGCGCGTTGTTTTTGGCTATTTTTGCATGTTTTTTTAACTTTTATGATTTGCTGTTTTTGTTAGTTGCCTGTCATTGCTTTGAGTTTCTAATTGCTGTCAATAGAGAGAGAGGGAGCTGGGCGCTGGGAGATGGGAGGCAATTTATGAAGCGAACGCGCGCGCGAGAGTTGCTTTGTGCAAATATTTTGCATAGCTGGTGAAGTTTTTTGTTTGCCAACGTCATGAGTTGGGTTCGAGTTACGGATTGGCGGGTAGTTTTTTCTTTTTTCTTTGTGCCTTTTTTGTGTACGTATATGTATGTGTATGTATGTGTGTATGTTAGTGTTTGTTTGTAGAGATTTACCTTTTTGCCATCCAGCTCGTGTGTGCCTTGGGTGAGTACCTTATCTACGCTATTTGGATCGCTGAATGTGACAAAGCCAAAGCCCCTGCAATAGAGAAAGAGACAAAGATAGAGATAGGGTGAGTGAGTGTGAGAGATGAAAGTAAATATCAACACGGTTAGACAAGTTGCTTAAATATTTGACAAGCAGCTCGATAAACCTGAACTCAAACCAGAGCCGAAAGCGTTAACCGTGCCAGCACGTGCGCCAATTAGAAGCTCAAATTACATCAAAATATTGGCCAGGCAAGTAGAAGTCATCGTCGACTTGTGCCTAAACCAAATGCCAGCCGAATCGAGCGTTTTGCCTTGCCGCTAATGCTCGACCTGACAGACGCTTACAAGCCATTACACACACACACACAGAGAGAGAGAGAGGGAGAGGAAGAGTGATGGGTAGAGGAAGATATATATATATACATATATACACTCCCCTCGTTTCGCGTTGTGATAAACTTATTCTTGTTAAATATTTAATTAAAATGCTTATTATCTCGCACTGCATTTTAATGAGTCTCCCATGCCCACACAGCAGCAGCAGCCAAAGACAACAAACCGAGCTCACAGATTTTGGCTGTGCCACAGCTTTCCACTCTCTCCAACTCCCTCTCCCTCTCCCACTCTCTGTCTCTCTCTCACTTTGTATGTGTGTGCACGTTTATGTTTATTTGAGTTTTGCCACTTGGCAGCGACGCTTAACGATGCTGCTCCAGACTCCAGACTCAGCTCCAACTTCTTTGCCAGACACACAGCAGCCACAGCGTTCGTATTTGTCTTGCTCTTTTAGGCGCTGCACACACACATACACACACACACACATATCTAGCTGGTTGTTAGGTAGAGGCAGAGCGTTGGCTTGAACCGCAAGCACAGACAGTAATTAACGACGATTCTATTGCAATTGTGGCGATTGTTACGGTTTTGATTATACCACTCTTCGCAGTAACCGGAACCAATGGCCAGCTACAGCTGCTCCTTGTCCACTTGGCTTTTTATTGCACCAACTTTATACACAAATTGCTATGCAACAACAGCAACAACAACAACAGCAGCAATAACAATAACAATGAGAGCTTGTTGCAAATTTATAAAAACAATTTGCATATGGAAAAGCTTGCCACACACACAGCCAGAGAGAGAGAGAATCGGATTGCATTGCATCTAAGCTTGAACTACGAACTGGAAAAAGGGGTTTAGTTATAGTGTATATATATGTTATATATACACATATAGGTTGGGCGGGGGTGTATATTGAGGTGGGCGTACGTACTCGGCAGCGCCTGGCACATATTAAATAAACATTTCTGCTGGTATTTATAGTCGAGCAATTTGTGCAAATGCATTTTGCGGAAAAAGAGGCCTACGCTATTAATATTGATTTAAATTGTGGGCGTGGCCCGGAGACCTTTCGGCCCATGGTGGGCGTGTCTTCTCCACTCAAGTGGGTCACACACACAAAAATTGCCAAACGGAAAGTGACACAAAGTTGAGGCGCAGAGACCGTTGCAATGCCTGCTGCACTTACATGGGGCACAGACATAGCGTCGCTCGCTCTCTCTCCCACTCACGCTCACTCCAGCCCACTCTAGCCCACTCTCTGCGCGTCTGTCTCGCTCGCACGCCTATTGTCTCTCACAAAGTGAAAAGCCACAAATTTAAAAGGCAAAACTCAAAAATAATGTGTCTCCTGTGTGCAATTTACTCACAAATTCAGATTCAATTTATGCAACTCGAGGCAAGGCAGCAGGCGAGAGGCACGAAAAATGAAAAAAAGCAAACACCCAGCGACAGACAGCGCCAGGATAACAACAGAATAAGGATGTGCATGTGGATATCTCTCTTCCTCTCCCTCCCCCATCCTCCCTCCCTCTGTGTCAGTGAGTGAGCTTTGTGCACAATAAAAAGCAAAATAACAACAAATAACTAAACAGCTAGACTTGAAAGATACCCTGTAGCAAACGTGAAAAGCTCTTAAACTTTCAGATTAATTGAACTTTGGCAAGCTCTGAAGCTTGAAGCTTCGGCTGATCGTACAAGCTTTGTTGTGTTGTGAGCTTTAATGCACTTAAAGCTTGTTAGGCTATTGCTTTAAATAGCACTGTTAAGATACAGCTTTAGAATAGCTTAAGTATGTTGAAAGCTTTAAGATAGAATGAGGGTATTCCCAACTCTTATTTCCGCACATGCTCAATTAGAATTTGTTCCAATTTGATATATATTTCTCTAGAAACTTCTAAGTTTATAGCTTTAAGTTTCAATGCCTTAAGCTTAAGTTCTTGGCTGCTTTTGCCTAATTTTTATGCTTCCAAATGTCACGTGAGTTTGATTTTAAGATTTTTCTGATTTTCTTTCGTATAAAAGCTCAACTCAAGCAGCTTTACACTTTATTACTAAGTAGCTTTATACATAGTTTCTGAAGATACAGACATTTAATTGTGGTATACTTCATAAAGGTAAGTGAAGTCTAGCCTTCTGAGACAGCAAGCTTCTAGGACAGACAGTTGCTGACATACTAAAGCTCCTTAAGCTAGGTTAAAGAGATATTTATTCAGCTAACCACATAAGTTAACAAAGCTTTTGAAAAGCTCTTAATCATAAAGGAACTGCAATCTTTAAGTTAGCAGCTACAGCCTTAAAGTTTTTTCAAAAAGTTCGAAATGTCCTAGTCAAGCACAGGCGAAACAAACCCTTTAAATATTTTTACAGAACATTTAGTACAACAAACAGAGACATGCAGACTAGAGGATCTAAAAACATGCAGCCAGAGTTGGGCAGGTGCTGGCGGGGGTCGCCGTAGTGGGCGATATAGCTGAGCCTTAAACTGAGACTGCGAGCGAGGCAAAAGGCAGAGACAGACGGAAAGGCTTGGTCTGGGTGGGACAGGGCAAGCCAAGGGAGAGCAGGGCCAGAGCTGATGCTGCTGCTGCTGCTGATGCTGATGCTGTATATGGTTCAGTTTGGTTTGGTTTGGTTTGCTGTTGTCGTTGTTGCTGTTGTTGTTGGTTCGTTTGGATTGTTGCTTGTTGAATTTTATAAAGCCGTTTCAGAATGCTAATGAGCGCACGCACAAGCTGCCAAGGTAAGCAGCAGCAGCAGCAGCAGCAGCTACAGCAGGGCAGGCGTGTGGGCGTGGCAATCATGTAACACACACGCCGCAAACACGTACCAGCTACGAGACGAGTTGAAGAGGCGCCATCGCCGCAGCAGCAGCAACAGCAGCAGCAGCAGCAGTGTTGCAAGGAAGCAACATAAAAGTCTTATTTGAATTGCCTTGCAGAGCTTGAGAAAGTTTCCTAGTCGCAGATCCTTGTTGCTGTTACAGTTGTTGTTTGCAGTGCTGTTGTTGTTGCTGTTGTCATTGTTGTTGTTGCTATTGCTGGCTTACGCACAATTTAGCAAAACAACTTGCATGTATTTAGCCTATGGGCTGGTTGTTTGCTATTGCTGCTTTATCCAGAGGCCGAGTGCCACCAAGCCGGGCATGTGTGTGTGCGCATGTAGGTCTTGTCTCTGGCAGCGTCTTGGATTACCGTAAATAATCTAACTAAATGAGTTACCAAACGGTCAAAGTTCAGCTGAGGTGTTGCCAAGAGGCGTCCTCTAACCGTGCCGCATTTCTCTCTTCTGTCAGTTGAATTTGTTGCCAAACTAAGCCAGCCAACGGCAACTACGAAAACTTCAGCCAGTTTAGCTCACACCCGAGAAAAAAGCGAACAGCCAGGACTCAGCTAGTTAATGCTTACGTTGCTGCCAGGCAAAAGCTGAGCACACATACATACACATATGTCCAGTAAGCACGATAATGTGTGACCCTTAAAGACTGCGCACGGTAAGCACATTTACCATACTGATAGTAGATTAGTCCCGAGAAATGTCCCAAAGGACTCTTAACTAGACGATAACATTGCATGCTACCAGATATGCCTGCTTGCATGCTTAAGCATCTATGTGAGTAGCGTTTGGGCAACAATACTTGGAGATATTTTCAGATTTTTATCTTGGAGTTGTGGTTAGTATGAGAAGCTTAAGATAAAGTCTAGCAAGATATCTTCAATCTTAGTCAAAGTGCTCAGTCAATTTCAAATTTTCAAATCAATTTCAGCTCACAACAATTCACAGAACGAAAACTATGGCAATCAATGAGAATCGCAAAGAGAGGCGAGCTGCCAAAAGGCAGCAACAAATGACGGTCGCTCGCTAGCTCGCATTGATGAGTGCACAAGAGTGTTTTATGTACAATGTACTGTTTATTGTCGCCATTTGTTGCAGCAGTCGCCTGTCAAGGCTGCACGGAGAACATTAATGGCAGCCGCAAGTCATGCCCTCAACCTTAACTAAAAACTTGGAAATGGCAGCTACAAGCACGAAGGCAGGCAGGCAGCACGACGAGCAAAGTAGCTGACGGCTAACAAAACTTTCAATCCACTGAGAAACAGAGAGAGAGAGAGAGAGAGAGAGACGCAGCTGCTGACTTGGAAGTAGAAGCAGGCAGGCAGAGCGTGGTAGGTGCCAGGATGACGACGAGGACGCATATTCAAATGACTTTTTCGTGTAAAAATTCAGAACAAAACAAAAGCGCCCAAACAATTGCAAAGGAATGCAACTCAAGACGAACGGGAGAGAGTGAGAGAGCCAGAGAGTGTGAGAGAGCGAGCCAGACTGACTGAGTGGGTGGGTGGCTGGCGAACTGCCTTGGTCTGGGTCTGGGCCGGACTGAGGCACTTCTAAGCTTTGGCTACAGTCAACGTCAATCCCGCACTAACAAGCACTTGCAGCTTGCCTCGACAGGGCCCAAGACGCTGGTCCTGGCGACTCGACGATGCTTTTGTGGTGCTTCCTATCGTGTTTTGTTTTTTTTTTTCCACACTTTTTTTTTCTCTGCTGACCTCGTCTCAGCCGCTGCCTCTGCTGCTGCAGCTAGCTAGCTGCTGTCGTGTGAAGTGGGGCCGCGTGCATGAAACTTTCACAAGTGGCTTCCTGCCTTGGTGCCGTGCTCGCACTTTATAAGCCTACGCCTACGCCTACGCCTACGCCTGCACACGCCCA